AAAGTTATAAAATGATTATATCGAGGAATACATGGAGTGACATTAGCGTTCATTTGCAGTCATGTTTCTGCCCACCATCACTATACTACGTTGGGCTTTTGGGGTTTTGTCTTCATCACCTCATCATAAAAATGGTTGTTCTCTTATTTAGTTTATTGGTTTGTTGAAGTTTCTTCACAAGCTGGTCACTTACTTTGTCTGTTCTTTGGTGCTGGTCGAAACTATGAGGTAAAACCATAAAGATGGACAACATGACAGCTCCCCAAAAGTGAAGCCAAAGCATCTCACAAACCCAGTGGCTTGCTGCATTATATGTCCCACTGCCTCCATGTTAGTGGATAGGACAGGGACCAAACTAAGAAGTCTTTAGTTCTAGTTCTTGAACTAAATATCTATTTTTATATCTGTTTGTGGGATATTTAATGAAAAACAGAGCATCTAGAACCCACCAGTTCTGCATATTAGTTGCAAGTATAAGACAACAGCAACACTCGTTTCAGTTCTGAACATGATTTAAAGTTACATAATGCTCCAGTGTGAACATCACTTCTGTGCTTAAGTCAGGCCCAACACGATTAACATGATGCACCACAGGCTTGTCTACATTATGTTCATAACAGCCTCTCCTCAGAGGGAGCACCAGGCTGAGGAAGACAGCTGCACAGCGAGAGGAGGAGTTGATGAACTCACTTCGTCTAAACACTGTAACCTCTCTATCGCTTCTACTCTCTCATCTGAAAGCCAGTTCAAAGAGAGGACACCCGACTACATTTCAAAGGGAAACGAGATACAGAAACACACGTGCAGATTTCACACACACACACACACACGTGCACTGACATCACAGGCTCACACATGCAACACCTACCAAGTGAACCTTTAGGGCACGGCCTCTCCACCGTCTCTCCCTTCAGAGTAGGGGGCCACTGCACCCCTCGTGCCACCCGGCCCTCACATCCGCCCACCTGGCCGGGGCCTCCAGGAGCCAAGGGGACACGCAGTGGAGGGCGAGGGGTCAGAGGGACCATGGCTGTGATGGGCCGCTGGTCAAAGGGCCCTCGATTGATGACTCCAATTGGGTGGGAGGCCGACGGTCGCACCGGGGTCAGAGCGACAGTAGCTGTGTAGGAGCGTACGGTCGTCATCAGAGAGGAGAGGGGACCTGGGGGTGGAGGATGAAAACACAGTTCATTCTCTAGATTCACCACATGTTCAATTACACATCTTCACTTGGTCTGCAAACCTTTAGTGGGCGGCGGCGGAGTGAACTGTAGCGGGTATCTCAGTACGTAATAGTTGTTCCACACGTACAGCTGGTTGTCTCTGGGGTTGTAGTCTATGGAGGATATGTACTGATAAGGGTTGGGGAACGGTATCTGAACAGGCAGCTCCTGTCCACGACTGGTGTCGTAGGCGTAAACCACCATGTCGCTGCCAACCCGGCCCTCTGCCTGCCCTTCATCGTCCTGGAAGACGGAGCGCACGGCATAGAGCACACCACAGGCCATGAAGGCGTTGCTCGCCCCACGCTTGTCAAAGCCTGTGGCCCATGTACCCTCAAACCGCAGGGTGTATGGGTTCACCTGCAAAAAGGAAAGAGTGGAGACATGGGAGGTGAGAGAGCTTTGGCATATTTAAAAACCTTTGCTTTTTTTCCTTTCTCTTTTAACATTGATTTGTTTTCATTTGCACCTACCTGGCTGACCACAATGCGTCCATTATTGGCTTCAGTAGAGTAGATCACCCAAAGGCCGTTTTCGTCCACCGCCAGATCGATGTCTGACTTCCCTCCCCAACGGTAAGGTGAGGTGTCGTGGTAGTTGGCATTAACCACCACCGCCTCACCGCTCTTGATACGGGTCCGCAGGTCATACTTGACCAGATTGCGCGTTCGCTCCTTGTTGTAAAACACAGCGCCATCATAAACCACAAAGCCTGTACCGTCCACACGGCTAGGCAACCTAGGACAGACAATGACAAGAAATATGTAGTCCACATGTGGAGTTACAGTCTTAAATGAAGAGGTGGTTGATTTAATTAAGTGAGAAATAGAATTAAAGGTCCTGGAAACATATTTCACAATCAGCTTGATGTTTTAGGTCATGGTGTCTACAGGAACACAAAATCTTCTTCACAGTTTTAGGTGGATTGGATTTTTATCTGCCTCTGTACGTCAGCTGATGAACTCTAGAGATCTCAGGGAGGCAAATTCAGAATTGTCTTCTAAATGAAATGACCTGTTGATCAATCTGGGGTCAAGTCAGCAGGTCTAATTTTTGCTTATTTAAAGTTGTCAAGGGTTTTAATCTCTCTTTGAGAAAATAAATGCTGCTCTGTGTCAATAAATTGATTGAACTGAATATGAAGTTGTCCCTCAAGAGCAAATAAAAGTTATTTATCGTAAAAATTAATTAAAAAAGATTGTTTATAGACCCAGAGGACCCATGGACACCTCTTCAAATTGATTGCTTGTTTTGTCTGGGTCCATAAGACATTCAGTGTCACACAGACATTACTCACTTGTAGGTGGTTGTGATTCTGTTTTGGCGATAGTCGTCCCAGGAGGCGTACTCATACAGCACCTCTGTCCTATATGGCGTCCATGGCATGACGTATAGCCTGTCCCCGGCCTGCAGCGGGTCCTTACACCACGCACCAGACTGATGCTCTGCCTCAAGGAAGGAGGAGGTCGGCTGGATGCTGAGCAGCGAGCCAGGACATACGAAAACTGGAAGACGGGAGTCAGAGAGGAGTAGCAGGATGTGAGGAAGAAGAAAGAGAGAGAGAGGGTGGGAGGGAAAGAGCAGGGAAGGAAGTGAGAAAAAGAGTGGAGCGACCGTGGAGCAGGTGCAGGAAGAAAATGGATCGATGCATGAAAAATGGATTGAATTAGATGCAGTTGGTGCAGCGAGATTAAGAAAAAAAGAATGAGGAGAAAAAGAGAGAGGCATTTAAAACACCTGTGCTGATCTCGAGAGGCAAGCAACAGAAGAGAGGTAAACGTGTAATCACACACTGTTAGTGTGTGTGTGGTGAGTAATACAACAGGGACACTGCAATGAAAGGTGTGTGAGTGTGTTTCTGTCCTTTTGTGTGTGATTGCATGTGTGTGTGTGTGTCTGTGGGTTAGTGCAAAAAGAGTGAAAAAAGAGTGTGAGGTAGAATCAGGGACGCAGAAGGCGGGGCTAAATTTTGCCTTGAAGTGAATGAGAGGGCAGGTTAGTTACACCGAGCACAACGATTGGTCCACCCACATGTCAATAACTGTATGGACACATATGTATACTGTACAGTCTCACACTGGCATGCAAATAGGCATGCACACACACACACATACACACACACTCACACACACATAAACAGTGCTTAGTAAGCACACATCTGGACGGATACACAATCACACACATTTGGTCTTATTTTTCCTATGAAGATAAATAAGGGGCTCTTCCTACAAGGGAAGAAAAAGGGAAAATAAGCATGAGGAGGATGAAGGAAGGAAGGAAAGACAGAAAGAAACACAGAAAGAGAGAAAGAAAGAGGGGGTGCTTGTGTGCGAACAGGAAGTAGATCAGAGAAATAGTTTAAAGAAGTTTATGTCCGTGTTTGTGTGAGTCGTTGTGTTTGCGTATGTGTTTGCGGATTTGTTTGCGAATAGAGCGAGGAGGGAAAATAGGAGACAGAGAGATTGACCAAGAAGAAGAGAGGAGGAAATCTGAGAGAAATAGAGAAACAAGAAGAAGAGAGACGAGGTGCAGAACCTGGATAAAATTGGATAAAAGGCGAGTTTCCATACAAGAGATGGATAAAATGGAGGAAAATAAAGAACCGAGAAGGAAATGAAAAAAGGGGGGGGCAACATCCAGCATGACTACGAAACAACGTCCTAGGGTATAAGAGGAAGAGAGAGATGGTCGGAGAGAGAGGAAGAGGAGGAGAGGAAAAGAGAGGGGTCGGGGGGTAAGGAGAGATCAAGATGCTACAATGTATATGTCTTTACCTTTTTGGTCCACTTCTACTCAAGCATAGGAAAAAAAAGAGGGAGAGAAAGAAAGAGAAGTCAGAGGATGAAAGAAGGGAAGTGAAGAAAAAAAGAAAAGCAAGAAAGCAAGCGCGAGAGGAGAACAGAAAGAGAGAGAGAGAGAACGAGTGAGAAAGAAAGAAAACAAGCAAGCGAGAAAGAAAGAAAAGAAAAAATTGCACAGATAAAGACTTTGGAGCTCATTCTCTCACCACAAACATTATAGTTCACATAAAAGAAAGGGAGAAGCACCAAAAGAGACCCGGTGTACTCCTCTTACTCCTACTCTCCTCCCCTACCCCCCATCCTCCCCTTTCCTTCCTTCTCTCCACCTCCCCCAGATTTGTCCTTTTTTCCTTAATCAGGCTCCTGTGGAGAAAAGAGAGCAACTCCTGTGGCGTGAATCTGGAAAAGAAAACACACACACGCATGCACGCGCAATTGCATACACACTCTCCCTTACCCATGCACTCACTCACACACACACACACA